GGCATTTTGACCCAGGAATTGACTAGTTCATTTCTTTAAATCGGCTTGAGTAGCGTTATGGGCGGTTTGTTCGGATTCTAATTCGGTTCTAGATTGTTGCTTTTCCGCTTGATAAGCCACAACAGGAGGTCTTTTTGGAGTAAAAGATTTACTTAACCTAAAAAAATTAACTGTCAGAAATACCGATGTCAGCATACAAGATATTGAAATACTACGGTGTAAACCGGAAATTTATAGTAAGGGTGGGGCTGGTATTAGAGATAAAGATGGAAATAAAAAAATTTTTAAATCCGATGAGATTTACCAAAAAATGTTAGAAGTTTGTCAAAAAAACGGTCTTAGTTTTAGTGGTAAAAATTACTGAACTAGTTGGCAGAAAGAGCAAGAAAGAAAGCAAAATAGAAATGGTGGAGGTAGCAGCGGAAACGGAAATAACAATGATAATAGGCAGGATGAAGAACAAGAGACTGGTAATAATAATAATAATGATGATGATGATGATGAATGGGATGATGAGGAAGATGAGAAAATCAGCGATGAAGACCGAAAAACTGTCCAGAATCAATTTTACAAACGAATTCAAGGAGATTTAGCCGCTAGTCAAATAGCCATAACTGAACTAGCCCCAGAGTTTCGGTGATACCAAAAGGAAATAAAAGATTTAATAGTTGCGAACAATGATTTGGATGCTGCTGATAATTATGTTATTAGACTTTTGGCTGACATTACTCGGGTTTTTAACCAAAAAAAACTCCAAGCAATAGAGAATATTAAACAACAACTAAAGAGTAGCGGGGTTTATACCAATAAAGAAATAGACGATTATATTAATAATAGTGTTCATTCTCGTTTTTTTGCTAAGGAGGGGGATTTATGAGTGATTGGTAGTGTTTCACAAATAAAAATTCAAGAAGGTCTTTTTCTCAGTTTAATCAATAAAACTATTGCTGAACTTAAAGAAGATATTGAAGAAATTATTAAAGAAATAAAGAAAGAATTATTTGGTCCTCCGCCAGTCACGATTGCTACAATTTCTTCCCAGTATCATGATTATGAGAGAATGCCCTACACTACTTTGGAAAAGGCCAAACCACAAATTATTGAAGAAATTAAATTCAAAAGGGCGGAAAAAGAACTAATTATGGCACTAAAAGCGGCGGAAATATGTCAGGATAATTACATACAAAGTAACATTGAGAGATTAAAAAAATTTACGACTTCCCCTTCCTCCTACCACCAACAAGCCTATAAAAACAAAAATTCCGAAGTAACCAACGCTCTCACTAAATTACAGCAACGCTGAGACAAGCTCAGTGAAGCCCAAAAACTAACCAATTACTGAAATGCGGCTATCACCCAATTTGCTAATTGACTAAAAGAAGCCGAAGATCTCGTTCTAACTGATAAGGACCCGTTCCAAAACTTTCCCACTGAGATTAAGAATTACAAAAGCAAAGCAGAAATTGAAAAGCAAGAACAAGCCGCCTATCAGCATATTCTCGGCAAGTTTAAAGCAAAAGTGCAACAAGACTTAGGTCCCGAACAACAAACTAATGAATACCAAGCTCTCAATCAAGCCACCACTTGTGACTTGGTGAAAACAGTTCGAGGAAATATAATGGCAGCCCGAAGAAAAAGTTCCCCTACTAATCCTCTTAATCCAGACAACCAAGGCTCAGAAAAAAAACCACTAATTCCTTTGCCACCTCTTCCAGAAAAAGGAGAGAAATCGGGCCTTAAAGTAACGGATGATGCCCCAAAGCCAGGGGCTAAACCGTCAGAATTGAACAAGGGAAACGATAATAAAGACAAAAAAGAACAATCTAAACCAAAAGCCCAGAGCAATAAAATTCCTCTACCGGTCATAGTATTTTTGGCATTAACACCAGTAATATTAATTTCGGTCGTGGTGATTATTCGAATAAGAATGAAAAAGAGAAAAATTAGAAAACTAGAATCGAAGCATTGCCTGAATAAATCAAAAAAATAAACATCAATTTTACAGTATTTCATATATGCTTATTAAAACCAACAAAATTCGCAACTTTTCCATTATTGCTCATATTGACCACGGAAAATCTACTTTGGCTGACCGTTTATTAGAACTAACAAATTTAAAAAACAGTAATAAATCTTTGGACAGAGTGCTCGATAGTCTTTCCCTGGAACAAGAAAAAGGTATTACTATTAAACTAAATGCTGTTCAATTGTATTATCCGCCGGAAAGCCCTGAACCTTATATTTTTAACTTAATTGATACCCCGGGTCATGTCGATTTTATGTATGAAGTATCCCGTTCTTTGGCTGCTTGCGAAGGAGTAATATTGTTGGTTGACGCCGTGAAAGGCATTCAAGCTCAAACCCTGGCTTATTATGAAATTGCTAAAAAGCTTAATTTAAAAATTTTACCGGTAATTAACAAAATTGACCTACCGCACGCCCAATTAGAAGCTACTAAAAACCAACTTATTGAACTGCTGAACTGCCAAGAAAGTGAGATTTGTTTAATTTCGGCCAAAACTGGGAAAAATGTCGATTTATTGTTGGAAAAAATAATTAGTGATATTCCATCCCCCCAGCAAAAATAACTTATTATGGAAACCAAAAATATTATTTATTTTCGAACTATGAAATCCGCGGCAGATGAAACTTGCCTCGTAGAAAATCGTCAATATTTATGTTGTTCCATATGACACAGCAACCTCCCCCTTGTTGGCCGCTCACCTTTACACTTACTAGTCCCCGACGATAATTCGATTTTAACTAATAGTATTCGCAACAACCCAAATAATAGTCGCGACATTTTTATCATTCCTTTTACTGACTTAAAATTTCAACCAAATTTTTTCAAAAATGTTTTTGCTGCCCAAGACATTCTTTTAGTTAAAAACACCGACCAAGTAAAAAAAATAACTCAAAAAGAATTTTCTTCCTCCCAAACTATTACTTTTAAGGTGCTAGGTCAAAAGAAAACGAGAAAAGAAGAATTTGGTATAGGGTCCTATCATCACGAATTAGAAGTTGAGCCTTTTTCGCTGGGAATTGAGGGATTACCAGAAATTTCACGAATTTCTTTTTGTTTCGGCTACGCCCAGTCCCTCGAAAATTCTCCGAATTCATTAATGAAAACTAAGTTATATAACAGTAAATTATTAGCCGAAAGTGCCGGCAAAACTTTTACCATGAAAGTTAAGGAGTGGAATGTATTTGATAATAACGAATCCCTGCTTTTTAATGAAACAAGCGATTTTGATTTAGACAGTTTTCAAGAAAAATCTACTAATAATCCCGACCAACCAGTAAATAATCCACCTCCTAACCCACCAGAAAATGATAATTCTACTACTCCAAGCGGAAACAAGGGACTAATAATAGGAACAGTAATAATTTTGATTATTTTGGTACTAATTATTGGTTTTTTGTGGAGGAGAAAGAAAAAAATAAAGAATAAAAAATGGAAAAAGAACAATTAAAAGCCTTAATTTTTGACTTACTTTATAACCGCTATTATGGAGTAATTATTTATGTCCGTATTTTTGAAGGGGAATTGGTCAAAGGGCAAAAAATCAAGTTTTGTACTAATCAGCAAAAGGTTTATCAAGTAGACAGAGTGGGAGTAAAAATTCCCCACGAGGCTTTAAAAGATAAATTAATTGCCGGAGAAATTGGCTGATTTACGGCTAATATTCGCGATATGCGAGAGGTAAAAGTTGGTGATACTGCCCTCAACTTAAATAACAATTCTTCCCCTTTAGAAGGATACCAAGAGGTAAAACCCAATGTTTACTCCAATTTATATCCCGGTGATAGTTCGCAGTATAAGGAATTTAAAAAATCTTTGGAGGAATTACAAATCCAAGATAGTAGTTTAAGTTTAGAGACTATTGATTCCCAGTTGCTCGGGCCAGGTTTCCGTTGCGGTTTTTTAGGAATATTACACCGAGAAATTATTTGCGAAAGATTGGAAAAAGAATTTAATTGTGAAATTATTACTACTCCCCCCAGCATTAAC